CGGCTCTCCACCGGGGGCAGTGCCTCGCCCGCCGTTCTCACATCTCTCATCCACTCTGTCTCCCAGGATCACAGCCCGTCCAGTTTGCTGTGGCACCTCCGGGCCTGGAACCCACACACACCTCCACCAACGCTCGCTGTCACACACACCAGGTCTGCCCGACGATGCAGCTGTCAGCTGGCCCAGGCTCTCACAGCCCAAATGACCCCTTCTGTCCTCTGTGGATATTTCTGGTGAAGACCCAGGCCTGCTGTACCTCTCCAGCCTGGACCCCATCCCAGCGCTCTGTCCCCCTCACCATGAGGTTTGTAGAAGGTCCCTAGCCGACCTGTCTGGTGTCCTGGTGACCATTCCAGGTAACCGGAGCCTCCGTTTCAGCCTCTGGAAATGAGCTACAGCCTCACCAGCAGAGAGTGTGGTTGTATATGCTTAACGTCAAGAAAATCAAGAACACGGTGCTGAGCTGCTCCAGCCGCACCCCGCGCTCCTCAGGGCACGTGGGGACAGGACGCAGACACAGACAGGCCATCATGCAGGCGTGTCCAGCTGCCCCTCGAAGGCCTCCCCACACTTCAGGTCAAACGAGCAGCAGGTGCCCATTTGCCTCCCACGTGTGGACATACCTGGGTCCTCATCCGGGGTCAGAAGGGCCAGACAGAGGCCGAGTCGCACAGCAACCTGGCCCTCAGTCAGGCTCAGCCAGGCGCCCCTGAAGGCGCAGTCTTGGTCACAGGAGCCCTTCCTTCCAACGGGGAATGAGCTGTGGGTTCCCGAGCTGTCACGTGCCCCCTACAGGGTGGCCGCAGTGTGGGCTGCCAGTCCTCGCTGCTGACCACACCACTAACCACACACCCCTCCTGACACGGCTCAGGCACCGGAGGGCCCCGAGTGCTCGGACGTCACATTTCTGGCACCTGGCAGGAGGGCGGGAGAGCCGTCCCCATGGGCCTTTCAGCAGTGCTTGCCAACCTTCTTGCCAACCCAACCAACACATGGCCCGCGTAGCACTTAAAACCTCCTGCCGGGAACACGAACCACCATCCACCTAACTCAACGCTCCCCAGAAAACCGAGCGCTCAGGAGGTGAAGAAAAGTGGGCCGGGCCCTGAGTGTCTGCCCCGCAGGTGAGCACCACGGCCTCCTCAGCCGGAACCATGCCCCTGTCCCCTTCTCTGCCCCTCATCCCATGTCGGGAGGGTCGCGGCTCGGAGGTGGCTGGCCACGCGGGCTGTCAAGCTGGGTGGGGCCACCCCAGACACAGGAGAGGTGGCAGGCCAGGGCAGCAAGGCTATCCACCGAGCAAGCTAACAGCACCCAGGATGCACCTCTGGAGCCCCTGTGTCATCCCCTCACAGGTCCAGGCAGAGAGGGGATGCCGAGACAGAGAGTGGCCGTGGACAAGTCAGGAAACACAACTCCTCAAATCCAGCCACTGCTGCCCACGGGAGCCCTGCTCCTGCCAGGCAGCTCGAAGCAGCAGCAAAACCCACCTGGCGCCCAGGCTACCTAGGGACCTGCATATCCCTGTGTCCCTGGTCACCAGGTCTGGGACTAACAGCAGCAGCTCCTCCCACCCATCCCTGTCCTCCTCAGGACTCCCACCACCCCTGAAACGCCCAACAAGGGCCAAGCATCGAGGCCCGAGCGTCTCTTCTAGGTAGACAGACCCCATGCTGGACGCGGGGCCCCAGGCACCGGGCACCATCTTTGGAACAAGGACTCCCAGCCTGCCTAGCAGTTCCCAGTGGACTTTTGTAGGAGGCAGCAGCCAAAGGGCCTAGGGCTCCATGGCCACCAACAGCAGGGGGACCTGAACAAGGACAGGCTGGGATTGATGTGGGAATCAAAGCCAAGGCTCCTGCCAGGCCAGGCTAGGAAAGGCCCAGCGACCACCTCCAGCAAGTCTCCTGGAAAACAGCCCTTTGAGAAATGGCTGCATTTCTCAAAGTGAACTGCATAGGACAGCACCAATCCAGCAACCCAAGAGCAAAGAAGAGGGGGGAGGTTGCCAAAGTTTAGCCCCAGGAGCCGGAGCTGTGGTGTGGAGCCACTGCCTGCAGTGCCAGCATCCCATAGGGGCACTGGTTCCAGTCCCAGCTGTTCCACTTCCGATCCTGCTCTCTGCTGTGGCCTGGGAAAGCAGTGGAAGATGGCCCAGGTCCTTAGGCCCTGCACCCACGTGGGAGACCCAGAAGCTTCTGGTTCCTGGCTTCAGAAGGGCCCAGCTCCAGCCTCTGCAGCCATTTGGGGAGTGAACCAGCGGATGGAAGACCTCTCTCTCTGCAACTGTGCCTTTCAAATAAATGAATAAATCTTTTTAAAAAGTAAAAAAGTTTTACACCAAAAAAGAGGCAAGAACAGGGCTGTGCTGGGCAGCAGGACAGGGCAGGGCAAGTGGTACATATGGTGACACATTAGCTATCCCCTCACTGTTCCTCCATCGGCACACCACACCAGGTACCCCCTTAATGCCCTACTGTGGCCATGCCACTTGGACAGTGTGTCTGGACCTCACCACCCCCCAGAGGCCTTGTGAGAGGGCAGGCCCAGGGGGCCCACCTCAAGCAGCCCTGCTCGCCACAGTGGGCCAGTGGCCACTCCCAGAGCCAAGAGGGGACCCCAAGCTACGGCACACACCCCCTACCAGGACGGGGCCGTGCGAAGGTTGGGAGAATGAGAGTGGGGGGGGAGTTTTCCCAGGGGCGGTTCTTCCTTCCTTCCTTGCTACTAGTGTGCTCTGGCATCAAGAACAAAAGGTAATTCAAAAGAAAAAAATGACAGGGAAGTAGGACTTTACAAAGGCTTCCCCCAAAAGGCCAGTGCAAGCTTCACCTTTAGACATCCAGAGAGACTTCAGAAGGCGAAAGCTTGCTGCCCTGGGCTGTGAGAGAAACATCGCCCTCATTACACAGCTACCTCACTCACCTGGTCTGCAAGATCAGGCCCTAGAAGGTGCCCTGACACCTGCAGCCTGGGGGCAGGGGCCACTGTCCTGATGTGCACCGGTACTCGGGGGAGAGGGAGGTGGAGGGATTCCTCCACACCGCCCTGGCTGCAGGCAACACCCCAACAGACCCTCCTGGCGAGGAGCCCTCGACACCCAGGAACATGGGGGACCAAGGTGCCAGCAACCCCTCCCCAGTCACAGGGCCAACACACCTGGCACCCTCCCCGGGGACACCCCTCAACTGGGTGAGGTCCTGGAGGACTGACACCCTCAACCCGGTCCTGAAGCACCTTCCCTGTGCCCTGGTCTGGGGGCTGTGGCTTGTGGACTCCCTGCTGCCCCACACTCCCCCGACCCCTCCCAGCCATGGCCAACGCCCGGGACACCACATGCAGCCCCACCCCACCCTCCGTGCCAGGCAGCGCCCTCTTCCCTGATCTCACCGTGCCCCCTGCAGTCTCCTTGCCAGCGACCTGGGGGCTTGCTCCATGTCCCCTGCGGTGGGGCTCACAGCACAGAGCACACACACACACAGAGGGGTCTCAGACCCCTCTGTTGGAGGCAACTCACTCCCAAGGATGTGTGTCGGCTCGGGGGCGCACGTGAGCAGTGAGGAGCCAGGGACCCCTGGGCAGCAGCCAGGCCCCACCCCGCGCGGCTCTGCCCACAGCAGGCAGCCCCAGAGGCAGAACGGCCGGCCTTGCCTTAAAGGGAAGGGGAGCTAACGTGCTCGGGGAGTCACATGGGCCCGCAGTGCCTCGGCCAGATCAGCAGGATCCGCTGCCGAGCTCTCACTCAGACCCGGGCTGCTGCAGCACCCCCAGCCTGTCCCCCACCCTCTCAGGCATTCAGCCGCCGCAGCACTAGCAGGCACCGGAGCCACCGTGCTGGTCATCTGGCGACAGCAGACCACCTGCTCCCCCTCCCCAGACTGCCTCTGCCCCTCATGCAGCAGTAAGAACGCCCGGCACACCCCTGGACCCCAGACCACAGCCCCAGCCTGCACACCAAGGCTACCTCGCAGAGGGGCCCGGGATCTGCAGAGCCAGGAGGGAGAGGAACTCCTTAGCCACTCCCGAATGACCCCCGAGGACACCACTGACCCCGTCGCGGATGGGCACGTTTCCACGGCAGGACACGGGGCCATGGGGAGGCCAGGCCTCCGGGGCTCTTTGTCCTGGGAGAAGGGCAGGTCAACACCCACCACATGAGCCCAGCTCCTACACCCTGCAGCGAGCCAGAAACACAGGCGGCCTGCAGCGCGGCTGGCGGCCCTGGCACCTAGCTTGCCCCGGCTCGCCCAGCCCTGGAAGGCTGGCTAATGTTACAGGCCGGTGGGATAGGCTTACACCTCCAAGCGGTCTCCTAGGCCAGCCCCGCATGACAGCTGACCCCCCCCCAGCCCGCCCCAGCGAGGGAGGACCCATAAACACCCAGTGACAGGAGCTGCCTCCTCTTCCAAAGCTGGCCCTGGCCGTGGCTAGAGTTGCCTTTTATATAATCTCCCTGGGCCGGGGCTGGCACAGCCGGCATGAGGGTAAGGTTATGGAAACTGCCCATCCGCCTTTCGCGTGAGTTGGTTTTAAGACCTCACACGACCATTTTGTGAACAGAGCGCTTGGGAAGGCGGCTGACAGGCCTCGCAGGACTTGGCCAGAGGGGCGCAGGGCCCGGTCAGCCACCCCTGCTGAGGTACCTACAACCTGGCAGGGCACAGCAAAGCACTAATTACAAGGCAGCTCAAGAGCTTCCCAGATCACCCTGGGAGGGCCTAGACATAGGCCCGGAAACCTACATCAGGCTTCTAACAAGATCCAGCTGTGCCGTCCACCTGGGTCAGGCCAGCGGGAAGGCGCAGGGCCGACCGTCACGCCCTCCACACCGCGCGTGCACACCCAGCAGGTTCACACACCCTACCCTTGCAGACACAGCACGCCCACCACACGCATGCGCACCTGGCTGGTCCTGCCGGCCACCCACACGGTGGGTGACACGCAGGGGCTTCAGGGCTCCCAAAGCCGGCGCACTGATAGCCCCCTTGCAGCTGGCTCACCTGCAGCTCGCACCAGGCCACCTCCACCCAGGTCTCCGTGTCCAGCCCCTTGTAGACCGTCTTGAAGGAGCCGCGGCCCAGCTCGATGTCAAACTTCAGGAAGCGGCCGTCCAGGGAGGTGGCCACGGCCTTGAGGTCGTCCTCGTCGTCCTCCTCCTCCCCGGGTTCCTCCCGGCGGGCGCGCCCGGGCTCCCCCGGGTCCGGCTTGGCCTCGGCCACCCCCGCGTCCTCCTGCCCTGCCTGCCCCACAGCGGCCGCCCCCTGCTCCTCCCGGGGGCCGCCGTCCGGGGCCCGCTCGGCAGCAGGCGCGGCCGCGGCGGGGTCCGGACCAGGCTGCTGCGCGCGCTCTGGCTCGGGCCCGGGGTCCGTGGGGGCGCCGGGGCCGCTGAGGGTTCCGGGCGGCACGGCGGCCGCGGGGGCGGAGGGGCGGCCGCGGGCGCGCTCGGCAATGAGGCGGCGAGTCTTGCAGAGCAGAAGCACCCGGCGCTGCAGGGGCTGCGGGGGCTGCGCGCTCGGCGCCTCGGCCGCTTCCAGGCCCGGCGGCTCCTCCTGGTCCGACTCCACCACGCTGCGCCGCAGGAAGCGCTGCGGCCCGGGCCGCGCCGCCCGCGCCCGCGGCTCCGCCATGCCCGCTGGCCCCCGGAGCCCGGCCTCCGTCAGCGCGCCGGGGGCGCCTCGGCCGCCATCGCCGTCCATCTCTGCGGGCCAAGGACGCACGGGCCCGCGTGAGCGCCCGCCCTGCCGCACCTGCCCGGCGCGGATGAGACAGCGCCGCCGGTCCGCGCCCTGCCCAGCCCTGCCGCGGAGGGACCTCCCGGGCCGCCAGTCCCTGGGGGCCCGAGGCGGAGGCTACAGAAAGGATCCGGGAGGTTCGGGTCGGGAGGGGGCCGTGCCGGGCTCAGCTGCGGCCCCGGAGAGGGCCTTCCCTGGGCTGTCCCAGGGACCCCGGGAAGGACCTGCTGGGGAGTCCCCCCGGGGCTGCAGAAGGAACCTGGGGGCCGCGGGGAGAGGGCCTGCGCCCTGCCCAGCCCCGGCTCGGGAAGGACCCCGCTAGGCTGTCCTGGGGGTGGCAGCGTAGGGGACAGGGAGGCCCGAAGCGGGGGGAGGCACCGGCCAGGCGGCGGCTCCACAAAGGACGCGGGAGGGGCGCAGGGAGGGGGCTGCGGCGGCGCGGCGCGCACACAAAGGCGGCGGGCGGGGGTCGGCACTCACAGGGCGAGCGGGCGCCGTCCATGCCCGCGGCCGGGCGGCCGGGGCGGGCGAGGCCGCGCTCCGGGGCCGGGTGTGCGCTCTGGGGCTGGGGTCTGTGCTCTGGGGCCGAGGTCTCTGGGCGGGTCCGCGCTGGGCGGGTGTCGTCGCGCTGTTCGGTTTCCTGCGCGCAGCTCCTTGGCCGGGCCGCTGCGGGACCGCGCTCCCGCGTGCTCTGCCGGCTCCGCGCGCCTCCGCTCCCGCACCGGCTCCGACCCGGCGCGCTGGGGGCGCGGCCTTAGCTCGCTCCGCCCCTGCCGGCAAGGCGGGGCCTGGCACGCCCACCTGGCTACGGGCGCGCGCAACCACCTGCGGACCGCCCTCCCGCGGTCGCGATCCACCCTACAACTCCCACCCCGCAGCGCCCCCAGCCGCTGGAGCTCTAGGCGCCGCAGGCCGGGTTGTCCAAATGAGCAAGCACGGGCTCAGAGCCCACAGTGTCCGGACAGAACAGCCAGGCCAGGCAAAGTCCAGAGCGGAATACTCCCATCCTTGGGAGCCCAGCCCCGACTAAGCCCGCTAGGGGACTGGACTGCCCTCCCGACCTGTACCCACGCGACCTGTGAGCACTTCACCATCACCAGGGAGGTGGGTACTGGTGATCATTGTGCCCATTGCACAGTGCAATAAACTGAGGCCCCTAAGGCAAAAGTTACCTGCCCTAAAGCCCAGGGCTCCTGCTAAAGGAGCTGCACTGAGATGCTTTGCATGAGGGCATGGAGAAGCTTCCAGAAGCCACTTGAACCAAAGTGTCCTGGGAGCCTCATGTGGTCTCTCCTGCTGCCTTCCCGCCCTTGGCTCCCATGGACCAGTCCCTCCCTGTGTATCTCTGACTTTGCAGCCCTGCGGCAGTAATTCCTGAGCCCTGCTCCAGGCGAGCCCCCCAGCTGACACCTCACCCTGCCCCACCCTCTAGCCCTGCACACACAATCCTGGGACCCACTTCCACATGAAGCAACCAGGGCCCGAGGAAGACACCCAGTGGTCTCACCTCACTCCCCACCCCCGATGTGGTGCAGGGTCAGACACAAATGTCCAGTGAGGAAGCGGTGCCCACGGGCTGCCAGCCCTGAAACCCTGGCCCAAAGTCACTCACGTGACATAAAAGCCAGCAGAAGGCACCAAGAGGAGAGGGTAGAGTGTGCCCTGATCCAGCTGTTACAGAGAGCAGTGGGAGTGCCTGGGCCTGCTGGGCGCTGGCAGCAGGTGCTGGCGCCAGCTGAAACTGAGTCACAAGACGACGTGCACACCTCGTCCCAGCCCTGAGCCCAGTGATGCCACCTCGCAGCCCGAGGCCAGGCGTGCTGGCTGTTTGCACTATGGAAAAGGGCAAACACCTCCAATCGGGACTCTCCCCACCGAGATCTGGTGGCTGAGCCGTGTGCAAGGCGCTTGGCACTGTTAGCGTATGTTATCTAATCCCACATCTACCTTGCTAGACAGGCCTGAGCCCAGAGCCCAGAGCCCACACCCCACACGAGGAGGAAACACACAGCAGACAGCAGTGCTACGGGCCTGGGCGGGACCTGCAGGCAGAGAAGGCAGGTAGATAAGGGCCTTTCTGTCTTCCCTGTGGGGGCTGAAGGCCCCACCATCTGAGTGACTCCACAAGCCCCAGTTCTTCCTGAACCTCAGTATCCCACCCTACAGAGCAAGCTTGGTCATCCTGGCTCGTCCACCTTAAAGGGCAGCCAATTCCTCCTGGACTCAGGCCAGGAGGGACGCCCTGAGCCCAGGCCTGTCCATAACAGTGTGTTCAGGCCTCTGCAAAGGGACAGAACCAAGGATGTTCTGAAACCAACACGCTCAGTGTGGCCTCTTCCTGGCAGCGTGGACACCATGCCTGTCACCTCCTGTGGCTGCTGGCCATCACACACTCACAGGTCTGGGTGAGGAACTATGGCCTGGGCCACAGGTGGACGTGCTTTGTGTTCTGCAGGCTCTCGGGTGTGATTTCACACAGCCCTGCTTACATACCACCTGTGACGGAGAGCTCATTTCCTCTGCTCGCCCTTGACCATTAGAGTCCACAGCTGAACAGCTAGTGGACACGTCACAGTTCCCTTTGCGAGGAATCTTGGGCTGGGCTCAGGAATGGGCCCTGGGGTCCCAGCTGGCTCAGACCTAGGAAGCCAGGGTTTTGATGGTACTCGCTGTGTGCCCATAGCCAGGTCACGGGACATCTCTGAGCCTCTATCTCGCTGCTGTAGTCAGAGAGAATAAACAGCACCCATTGTTTTGCTGCTTGTCCTGAGGGTCTGTGAGCCAGGGCTGTGGAGGAACTTTGCAAACTGCAAAGTTTGCATGATCCCGAGCCATGACACAGCATCTGCTTTGGCTGCTTGCAACAGAGGAGCATACCGAGGCCTTTGTCCAGGGACCCTCCACTTTAGAAAAGTAGGTCAAGGCCACCAAGTGGAGAGTGTGACTGCACCACCCCTGGCTTTCATGGCAGATTCCCCAAGACTAGGTGCCCCCAGCTCCAGGGAGCCCCTTAAAGAGAAAGCTCCCCCCAAGTCTAGGCTGCCCCTGTGCCCCAGTCTAACCCAACCAATATGCCCCTGCAGACAGGTGCCTGCCCTGTGCAGAGGGGGCTCCAGCACCACACCACCACTTTGCAGTCTGTGAGATGGGCGCCATGTCATCCTCACCAGTCTCAGCGCACTGTGGTTGCTCAACAAACACCTGCAGAGGGAGGGAAGGCATCCCATGGCCTCTGCTGACCTCAGCGTCCATCCCCCTAGGCTCACCGACTAGAAGAAAAGGAGTCTGGCCTTGCCGTGGGAGCCCCATCCCAGGCAAGTCTGCTTCTGTGGGGCTCAGGTCCAGCACAGACAGGCCACCTCTCTACATGAGAGGACTCCCCACAGGGGGACAAGGCTGGGGAGAGAGGCAGAGTGGCCTGGGGGCTGCAGGGAGGACAAAGGACAGCAGACAAGCAGTGGCTGGGGGGAGGGGGAGCCATCGGTCAGCAGCTTCTAGCCGGAGTCGGGCTCCCCAGCTGGAAGGGAGCTGTCCGTGGGCACAGCCCACGGAGGGTGGATCAGGTGGTACAGAATGAACCAGTGCTTCTAGAATGACTCAGCTGTGATGGATAAGCTACTGAAGAGCCTCGTTTGCTTCCATCAGAGACGTTCTGAATCTGACACGAATCAGAAATGGCTCCGCACCATCCTGGAAGGAGGTGCAGCACTTTGTGGGACCAGCGGGGAAGGGCGACCTTCAGGGGACACTCAGTTCTGCTGAGGCAGATGACACAGTTCAAAGCAAAAGTGTAAGCCCTGGGAAGAAGAGAGAACACGCAGGTAGAGGGAGGCAGAGTCCACGCAGCCTCTCCCACAGCCTCCCCAGCCTCAGCTTCCCCACCCGTAAAATGGGTCCACAGTGCTGCCTCAGTTCCCTGAGGCGTGAGAAGCCCTCTCCACCTGTCTGGGACAGTTTGCCATGTTCATGGGTTGAGCCAGACCTTGGGAGTCTGGAACCTTCCAGCGGGTCCTAACCTGCATGCAGGAGCCCCACACAGGTGCCGGATGCTGGGAAGACCTGGCATATAGTAGGTGTTCCATGCAAGCTGCCTGCTGGGTGAGCACTCACACAGCAACAGTGCCTCAGAGCTGGAAGTCACAGCTTTGAGAAGAGACAGCCAGAGGGGCTGGGTTTGCCACAAACCCACCCACCAGAGCCTGCTCCAGCTGCTCATGCTAAAAACCAGTGACATCCTGGGCGTGCCCTATGCCTCTTGGCCATGACAAGTCCTTGGGCAGAGCCAGCAGGAATCGGGGAAGAGGCCGTGTTAGTAGGGACACAAGGCTGCCTGGAAATACCCAAAGTTTACTGGGGATGAGAGCCAGCCAGGGTGACACTTGCTCTTGGAGTGTAGGATATGCAAGCCGGGACATCTCCAGATTTGCTTCCTTGGAGCCTTCCTGGAGACAACCTGACCACTGCTTGCTCACCCCCTGCCTTAGCTACCACGTGCTCCCCATGGCCAGAGGAAGAGCAGCAGTGGGCCTGCAGAGAGGGCGAGGAGATGGGCCGTCAAGACAAGAGGGTCTCTGGGGCCTGCGCTGTGGTACAGTGGGTTAAGACACCACCTGCAAGGCCTGCATCCCATATGGACGCCTTTTCGAGTCCTGGCTGCTCCACTTCAGATCCAGCTCCCTGCTAATATGCCTGGGAAAGCAGTGGAGGACGGTCCAAGTCCTTGGGCCCCTGCATCCACGTGGAGACCTCGAAGAAGCTCCTGGCTCCTGACTTTGGATTGGCTCAGCTCTGGCTGTTGTGGCCATTTGGGGAGTGAACCAGCAGATGGAAGACCTCTCTCTCTCTACCTCTCTCTGTAACTATGTCTTTCAGACAAATAAAATTAAAAAAAAAAAAGTTAATTCTTTTAAACCAGCTTATTGATATGATTCGTGTACCATGAAGGTTACAAGGTTAGAAACCATCACCACCATCTAATTCGTATCAGCCCGAAAGAAACCCCAACCCTGGCAACCACTAGCCCACAGTCTGTGTCTGTGGGCTTCTCTGTCCTGGACATGGCCTACAAATGGAATCACAGGGAGGGATCCCTCTGTGTCTCCGCTCACTGAGCCTGGTCCATCCGAGCTGCAGTATGTGTCGCTGCTTCCTCCCTTCCTATGACGGACAACGTTCCATTGTCTGGATTATACGTAGTGACTTGTAAGAGCACAAACTCATCATACAAAGTGGAGAAAAGAGCAAAAGCGGAAATAAAACTGTTTCCAGTTGTGCACGATGGCATTACCCAAACCTGAGGCCCACTGCCTCCTGCGGCGGGCACAGGCGAGCAAGTGTGTATTCAATGAGCAAACGATTCAAATGGTTTTCTCCCAAGCAGAGTGATCATTCGATATTTCTCAAATAGGGGCCGGCGTTGTGGCACAGTGGGTTAACGCCCTGGCCTGAAGCGCTGGCATCCCATATGGGCGCCGGTTCGAGACCCAGCTGCTCCACTTCCTGTCCAGCTCTCTGCTATGGCCAGGGATAGCAGTAGATGGCCCAAGTCCTTGGGCCCCTGCATCCACGTGGGAGACTGGGAAGAAGCTCCTGGCTCCTGGCTCCCGGCTCCTGGCTTTGGATTGGCGCAGCTCCGGCCGTTGCGGCTATCTGGGGAATGAACCATCAGATGGAAGACCTCTCTCTCTCTCTCTGCCTCTCCTCTCTCTGTGTAACTCTTTCAAATAAATAAATAAATCTTTAAAAAAATATTT